AGCGTCCCGGCCACAGAGACTGGTGAAACTTTAGGAAGAACAGCCTTCAGAACATGGCCAAAGAGCCCAAAGAACAACCTTCCTTTTCTGCTGCTTTGGATATCCATACTCTTTCTTTTCTTTTTCTTTGATAATCTGACAGGCATTGGGTTTGTTTAGGGAACTACTCTGAAAAACTGGTTTCCTGCTGTGATGTATCTGTGTCTACCTTTGTTAAGTTCAATTTTATATGACCGTGTTAAATAATGTGCACAAGGTGATATACACAAATATAGGCATATTGTTTCCGGAAAGTAAGAGTGGTAAAGTAATAAGAGTTTTTCTGCTGCCCTGTCTTACCCATCTCTCATATACTGGTGTCAAAATTCTCTTAGTCTTATCACGTGCCAATTTATGTAATGGTATATTTTGAAAAGCATGGAAATAAATGTGTGTTCTTTAAGAATCTTCATTTATTTTTTCTTATCCTCTTTTACTGCCACCAAATTTTAGTTGCCAGGTACTGAGCTGCACACAAGTCAGCTTAATTTAATAACATTTTATCAAAGCAACAACCAAGGGATGTTATTTATTCATTCCTAGGCTTTAAAATCATTTAAGCACAATTCTTCCCCTCAAACTTGCCATTCTGTTTTTAAAAGCTGCCCACTGCCCCTTCTTGCTACTCCCCAGACTGCTCCAAAAATCTAATCAATATTCCTTTTCCCTAATTTCAGCCAGACAATCGGAACAATTCTTACCAATATTCCATGCTCCACATTGGCCTCCTTTCCCCCATCACACACTTACCAAACCAATACATTTCCCATTACCATACAAACAATCTGGGCATCACAAATCCTCCTCTTAAAAATAAGTAAAAATTCCAGCATTAATTTCAAAGCTGAGTGTGTTCAAAGTTTAAACACTTTTTACTTTAACCCAACCCCAAAGTCCAGCATTTTCAGTTTCACAATCTCTTAGGTGACACAGCCTGGTCTCTCCATCCTTTCTGCCTGTCCTGCCATAGTGTCTGTTCAGGGTCCTGCTATCCACTTCTACCTTTACCTGTCTTACTTTTACCCCCAAGGCCTCTGTGCCAGCTGGAACGCAGCTGTTGCTTGTCTGTTCCCCTGCAGTTGGCTCTGGAACGGCTCTCATTTCTAGAAAGAGCGCCTACTATTGCATTCTCTCCCTTTTCTGTTGGATTTGGAACTTATGCAAACATGAGGGCCATCTTTTTAGTTTGTTCATGTTTGCATGGTCTGTAGCCAGAGGAGAGTTCTCAGGCTCCAGTACAAACTGCCGCCTCCCAAAGGTAGGTGCTCGGCTTTTTAAGGACCCACACAATGACTAAGCATTTCTTTTTGGATACAGTAGTTTGTTTCTTTCATGTTTATGCAAGTTCTGACTCAGATAAACAAGTGGTTGTTTCACACCCTCACACTCTTGTAACAAAGCTTTACCCTGCCTAATATTTGGCCTGTCCATTGCAATTATGAACTGTTTTTCAAAATCAGGTGCTTTTAAAACAGGGTCCTGACATAATGCCTGCTTTATCTGTTCAAATGCTCTCTGGCACTGAGTGGCCCAGACCACTTGATTGGGGTTATTTTTCTTCTACAAAGAAATGAGTTGAGAGCCTAGATGAGAGGCTGCATCCCCAGAATTTAGAATGAACCTCCTATAATAACCTCTTACACCCAAGAAAGCACACATTGCCTCCTTAGTAGATGGAAGAGGCTGGCCCTCCACTTTATCCTTTCAATTGCTTCCACTTTAATAAATAGAGGGGTTATTTCCCCACTTTTCCACTCTGTAACCCAGGTAAATTGCTTCCAGTAGGCCAAAATAACCTTTCTTTTTCTCCCCCCCTCCCTTTTTTTTCTTTTATCCTTATGGCTTCCTTTACCAGAACAGTTAGTGCTTGAATAAGATTTTCAAGATACTGTATTCTATTAGAGATTCACTAAGTATAGGTATATCATCAATGTATGTCATTGTAAATGCTGTCATATGAGACATTATGGTGTTAATTAACCTCTGGGGAAAACTGGCGAGTTCATCAAAACAACAGGCAACACCTGAAGCTCATTTAGTCCATTGGGTGGCAAAATCAGCTTTGCATTTGAAGTCCTCTTCTAGGTCCGTCTGTCACAATCCCTTAAGTTCAGGGTGAGTGCTGATGTGTCTAAAATAAAGACAGAATGGAACAGATCCATCTCTTTTAGGAACTAGCATTACACCAGAGGGCCATGGACTCACAGACCCCTGTAATCACTGCAAGGTTTAGGATATCTTTAATCTCTCTTCTTATTTGTCACAGTTCATAGTTCTGATGGGTGAATTTCCCTCCAGTATTGATTGCTTGTATACAGAGGTCTTCCCTGGCTTGATATTAAAAAGCTCCATAAACCATTCAAATGATTTTACAATTCCCCTTTTCTTCACCTCACCCACCCTCTCTTCCCAGTGCTTGGTCTATGCCTCCTCCTACTTTCTTGCAGAAAATTAGGGACAGGAGGACCCCGATGTCCACAGGATTGATATCTGCGGTTTCACTTATCCATGGTTTGCTGTAGCGCTATAAACAACATACAAGGGTACCCTCTTGTAGCCTTTGTCCTGCCCCCTTCTGTGTTGTATATAGAGTTCCCTTGTATCCATGGCTTCAGGCATCCACAATAGGTCGCAGAACTGATCCCCCACAGATATAGGGATCTTACTGCATTTCTGTATCTAAGCTATTATATAGTATTTTAAACTGCATCACTTGGTTCTCTCTAGATCTATGAGACCTTAGCATGTTCACATGTACAGCTGTTTGTTTTTCTTACAGCCCTTTGGCAATATAAATCACTGTATGCAGCTCGCCTCGCATCATGTAGGGATCTTCCCAGCTTCCCTGCATTGTGCTTAGGAAATACACCATTACCGAATCTTGTATGTTACACTGTATTCTTCTGACGTCACAGTAATACCACCTTTTCTGTACCTTTCCAGCTGCTCCAGATTCTCCTTTGCTGTTGCCATCATTCCCTCCCTTTTGTTTCTTAATCCCAATATGTATTCTGCTATCGATGATGTTTGTTCCTCTTGTGCTCCGTTCCATGAAATTTTAAGTCTTAAGACACTGGTTTCCCAAACATCAGTTCAAAAGAGCTAAACCCAGTGGACTCTTAGCTGGGCCAGAAAGGTATGTGACAGCTCTTAAGGGGGAAGGGGTTCTAAGTAGTAGAAACACTTGTGGACAAGGTCTTTTCTTCTGATCCAAGTCGTGCCCTCAGTGATCCCTATATAGTTATCTCTGTGCCAATGTGGACAGGCCCTGTGCCTTATCTTTTACTGACCAGTAATCAATCCAGTGGCAGCATGACTTATCCCTTGGCTAGCTGGACCGCTAGGTGGCTGTCTTCTGTAGGAGGCTTCAGGTTTACAAGTGAACTATGTTCTCTTTGACTTTTACTTTCATTTATGTTGCATGAGAAAAGTCTGTCAGGTGTCTTCAGGAAATATGTTGTGGGAATCTTGGGGGCTGATGGGAGAGATCTTGACTTTGGTGTTTTCTTTACTGATCTCTTAAAGCACTGAGCTGGATCAGTGTTAACAGGGCCACTAAAGATGCTTCCTTCCCATTAAGGATGCTTAATTTACAGCATTGTCTGTTGCCTCAGGGAAAGCCTCATTTTTCAAGTATCACCCTGTCTATTTTATGCTGATACGATCAATGGTAGCTAGTTTTTTTTTAAATTGAATTACTCTTTGGCCAAGGGAAAGCTCCAGCACTAAAAGGCCAGAATCCTTTTGCAGTCCTAAGGGGAGCAGGGCTAAAGTGGCTAATTATCATATCTGATTTTTTTTTAAAAATGTGCCATCGTTTTTGTGCTATATAGAGTGCTACAGTGGGCTTTGTTGACTGGGAAAAAAAGGTTTAATTTGAAGGTATCCTTTTTTTTAAAAAAAAAAAGCTGAAAAGACTCCTTGTGCCTTCCAGGGACTACATTTAAATGAAGAAATGTTCACATGGGGGGGGGCTGGTGATGGTGGGGGCCTGTCAAACGAGGCAGAATTGCCACTCATGGTCCCAGGGGGGGCACAAATGGACTTCCAGAGCAAAAAAATACACAAAAAAGAACCCAATCAGCACTGAGGAAACAAGGTAGAACTTGGAACACATGGGTTTGGTTGGCAGCAGCGTGGCTATATATAGATTACTTGTGCTGCGTAACCATGGCAATTGGTCTTATTTTGCTTAAACCTGGCAGCACATGTGACTTGTTTGGGAAGCAACAGATGAGAGAAGAGGGGCGCTACCGGGACCTTGAAGGCTTTGCCACTGACTTGTTGAATTGGGTTTTGTGCTGGGAGTGTTTATTCCTCAAAGACTCAACTTCTTCTGCGATGTTGAAGAAAAATGTTTGGGGGCAAAAACGTTCAGTGCTAGAGCAACCACAATATACACAGTACAGTAGTTAGAAAAACGGCTGAGAATCGTAATTGTAGGACGGTTTTAGGTCAAGGACTACGGAGAGCTACTCTTTGGTCATTACCTGCTGTAGAAGAAGCCGGTAGAGAATCAACTTGGGACCAATACTTGTTTGAGTAACTGCGAGGGTGTAGGAGTCCACTAGTACTGTTAGTTCAGATCTTGCTAGGTTGGCAGAACTTTCATGTGCTTCCCTTTTTAGTGTACAGCCAAGAAGTGTCGCACGTACACCCAAGAGATGGAAAGTGTGAAGACTAAGAACACATGTATATATACTGGTGATGCCTTATGAGGAGTAGGGATTAGCTGCTGTCTGTTGAGTTTGCATTTGCAGTGAAACCCGGATATGCTGCTGTTATTATTCAGCTTAAAAACTGGTAGCAGCTACGTGTGTGGGAGGGTGTTACTTTTTAAAGATTTCCCATGAAACAAAATAATGTAACAAAGTAATGCAAGCTTTAAGGAGAAAGGTGGGATAGAAATATTTTAGATAATGAATGAATAAATAAATAGAATTAATGAGGATATGGAGACAACAGAGTCTTTCACAACATTGTGCTCTCTGTTGGGACTGGAGCAAGTGAGCCCAGCTATATCTTTCAGGATTAGTCAGGAAAGTTCTTGTATCACAAGATGTTGCTAATTATGCTTCAGTATCTCAGGAGCGTCTTTCTCTCTTTCCCTTATATTGTCTAAATCAGCATTTCTCCAACCATTTTTTAAAAGTCACATTCCCTTTATAATAGCCAGGTAACCTGCCACCACCCACACATTGGCATAAAAGGGACCCCACCGGACAGCTGCTCTCCTGGTGGGTCGTGGGGCAGAGCTCAGTTTCTGCCATGCACAAGCGATGGCAAAGTCCTTCCTGGTCATCTCTGGTGCAGCTTTGCCCACCTCTTGGCCACCTTTTCCTCCTGGGGTGAGCAGCCGCAGGTACTGGTTCTGCTTGCAACGGCTGCTGCTCCCATGGAAGAGAGAACCAGCCCAGAGAGAGAACCTTTGCTACTCCCTGCCTTGACTGCACAGTGTAAAATAATTGCGGCAACATCCCCAGAAAACACTTTGCAACCCAATTGGGGATTGCGACCTACAGGCTGGGAATCCATGATCTAAATGCTTGAAACATCAGTATCCTCTGTGTGTGTGTGTGTGGGGGGGGAATGCTTCATCTGGATTATGTAAAGCATGTGCTCATTTTCTAAATTTTATTAATTCCACTCTTGAAATGCAGCTTAATGAAATTTTTAGGCATCATCTTCTGTGCCTTTTCATGGGAATCCTGATAATGCTGATTAACTAATGTGACTTATATGCCTTTTTCAGAAAGGATTCCTTCGCTTGATCCTTGTTTTCAGTTGAAATTTATAAGAATCCTATTTCCTGTGCCATTTGTTGTAGTGAAATCAGCTGAGCAAGAGATCTATGAAGCTAAAAGCTCACTCATTTCCCTCATTTATTGGTGCCGCTAGTCCCTCTTTGCTCTATGCTTTCTGTTACCAACTACAGTCTGTCAGAGAAACTAATTTTGATGTTGGGCCAGTGAAGCCTTTGATGTGATCTGCCAGGGCCGTTTTGTTCCGATACAGAGGCCAAGAAAAGAAAACCACTTTACATTCAGATTTAATCCAATTAAATGGCCAGACTCTGATGGGGATGGATATACTTCTAAGAGTACAGGATCCTTGAGAAGTTTCATGTCATTGTCCTGCTCCCTAATTTTGTCTCCAATTCTTATACATCAGGTTCCGGTTTGCTGAGTTCATATATTTGCGTGAAGGAAGCCAGTCTCATCAGGAGCAGACAGTGGTCTTCCTACCAGATATTTGGAGTTGCATGCCATCTCTTGAAGAATGGGAGACACTGTGCAAACAGAAAGCAGAAAAGCCTCCGGCACCATCAGAAGAGAAATCAGAGATGGTAAGAACAGGGTGAAATTTGGGCAGGAAAGTTTAACCAGAACAAAGGAGGGGTCGAAAATCCTGCTCTAACTTATCATGTGATGGCTAGAAATGAAGAGATCTTGCTTCCTAGTCCATAATTTTGTTGCTATAAGAAATCATCTGTACTACCAGTTGATCCAGAAGGACTCAAAGCGTGTGGTGTTATTCTATGTCACATTAGCTTTGTCCTTTTATCCGTTTGAATAGCTGGCAACCAGTCTTTTGCTTTCCTTTTAGACTGAAACAGCAAATTTAGTCTTGGCTCATGAATATGTACGCCAGCCCATATAGACGTTGCTTCTTCTGGCTCTTAATAAAACAAGTGTTTCTAAACAGGAAGAAGAAACTGAATCTTCCTCTGAACCAGTTCCTGAGCAGGAAATGGAGACAAGCGAGCAGGAAGTAGACTCAGTTGAACCTGTTCCTGATCCAGCGCTTGAGACCTCTGCACCTGAACCAGAGGCTCTGTCGCGTCGCTTGGAACCTGCCATTATTGTTCACCAACAACCAGCCTCACCGGATGGTCAGCCCAGCTGCACAAATCTCTCTCTTTTCACCCTGCTGGAGTACAGGCGGCAGCGAGAGAAGCTCTCTTTTGAGGTAGGCTTCATTTTTTTTCTGAGGCTAGGCTTCTCTGGTGACTTCTATAATTCTGTTTTCTGCCTTTTCTGGATGCCTGCTGTCCAAGGATTTGCCAGACAGCCAAGTGTTGGGATTTTCTTATTAATTTTTCCAAGTTGTATACTCTTGGAAGGCACTTAATATTCATTGTTCACCCGGTTCAGTAGCCTTGTGTGGCTCTTGAACGTTTAAGGAGATGAGAAAGCTCTTGGTCACTATGCATTGCATTAGTAGATCCTCGGAGGAGTGGGCATAATGACATTTATCTTGTTGGGGAGACTTTGCTGCTGAACAGGAGCAAAACTTGAGGATGCTTCATGGGATTGTGCCCAGTATTATGTGGATTAAAGCTTGGTTTGCGGTTTATGAAGCTTTAAGAGTTCGAGGCAAAGACATGTTTGATTTAATACTCTCTTGGCTGACACGTTACGCCTTTTGCTCACTGGGTTCTCTCTGTCTTCTTCTGTCTGCACTCCTGAGGTGCTAGTGGTGGCAGAGTTCTTCCAGGAGATGCTTCAGCGGGATTTTGGCTACAAGCTATACAAAGCCTTGCTGGCACTGCCGGAAAAAGAAGAGCCAGTGGAGGCAAAGCATTCTGAGCCAGAGAAAACAGCTGACTCTGAGAAGGAGGCAGAGAGGGAGCTGAAAGAAGAACCTCCAGAGAAACCTGAGGCTGAAGAAGTGCCTGACAATCAGAAGGAGACTCAGGTGGGGCAGCATGCCTTCCTGGCATTCACATAGCTGTTTAGGTGATGGAGACATGTCTCACCTTCCTGAGACTGGGACTAACACCATCCTGTGGCTGTTAAAAGCAGGAAGCATCTTGCTGCCCTACACACAGTTTGTTTATGTTTCTTTAGGGTTAGTGAAACTGGAATAGATGGTGCAAAAAGGAGAGAGTATGCATTGCAGAATGGAATGTATGTATGGACAAGATGCTGCATTGTGTACACTGTTTGATTGGCTTTTTATTTTTGCAGAAGGAGGAAACGGGGGATGCAGAAAAGAAGCCAGTAGTTCAAGATGGGGCTAATTCAGCTAAGGAGGAGAAGATCAGTGGGAATGTTAAATCAGAACCAAAGGATTCCACAGATGACCTCTGTGAACTGAGCCTGGAGGATGACCTTCTGCTGCTAAGGGAGGAAGAGGAAGAGGACTTTGGTAGGTATTCTGGGCAAGGCAAGCCAGTCCTCCAGGGCCCAGTGCACTGTTCAGGGTAGACATGTTGAAGGGGTGGGGAAGGCAGGAGCCCTGTAACTCCCATCAGGAAGCCCAGCCTGTTGGCCTTCTTAACTTCTAGGAAGACTCTTTCAACCAAACAGACCAGTCTGGTCTCCTGGCTTCCTTTTTCTGCTTATTACCTGTTCTCAGACATAGCAAAGCTGTCTCCACATTGAGACTTGCTGTCATGCATAAGGTGCTCTGGAAGACATTATACAGGTACTGTCCCTCTTAGTGAGTACCTAGCAAAGGTCAGCCTTTGAAGTAGGTTGTCCTGCCTTGCCCACAGGAGTCAAACTGGACGATGCTGAAGTGAGATCAGTTGCATCCAACCAGTCAGAGATGGAATTCTCTTCACTTCACGATGTGGTCAGTGACCAGTTCTCTTCTTCCTAAAAGCTGGCTTCAGGTTCTTTATTCTGGCCTCTCTCTCTCTACCTGTGTGGCTTAGAAAGGAATGGGTGGGCTCCTAAGGATTGCACAGGAGGTTAGCAGTAGGACTCATGTCCCCTGATTTTTAACAGCATTGTATTCATGTGGATTTCTGTTGCTCAGAATTTTGAAGGTTATTTGTTATCTCCAAGAAGGACATGTTCTGGAGGAATTATGGTCAATTTAGATATATTTTCCTTTCTCTTAGGCTTCAGAACCACTCCTTAAATATGTCACTTATCTTGAAAGCCCTCTTACGGCTGCTGTAAGTTGGTTCCAACTTGATGGCACATAGCACACACCAGGATTGGGCCTTGTTCCACTCCAGCTTTCTGTAGGCTAGTACCTAACATACATTACACCCTGGGATGTAGTATAAGACCCCCAAAGAGGGGAGCTGAACTGTGGCAGGTGCTGAATGGTGAAAGAGAATGGGAGGGTCTGTGAAGAGAAAGCACGGTGGCCTATTGACAGCTTGAGCTCTTTGGTCCACCTTGTTACAACTCCACCTTTCCTACCCAGGCCAGAGAACTGGACCCAAGTGCTGTGTTGCCATTGGATGCCCTACTTGCCTTTATGTACTTTGACTTGAATCTCTGTGGCTACTTGCACAGGAAGGATATGGAAAAGATCTTCCTTACTTTAGGACTTCATCTCTGCAAAGAACAGGTGAGCCCAATGTTTTCTTCTGCGTTTTATGGGATGGGGAATGTTTTCGGTTAGTGCAGTGTTTGGCGATCTGTTTGCAAGCCTTCTCCAGCACTGTTCATGGAGATGGGGGTGTCTCATTTGGCAGGTGAAGCGCCTGGTGAACAGAGTGGTGACACAGTTTGTGTGCCGCTACCGAAGCCTCCATTACAGCCGGCAGGAAGGGACCGAGCCAAGCCCTGAGGAGGAACCATTAGGTAAGAGCAAAAGGTAGGGTGGGAAGGGCATGTATTCAGCTGTGTCAGATTTCAAGCATGGCAGAGCCTGTATATTTTGGTTGTTGTGGGTTTTTCGGGCTCTTTGGCCGTGTTCTGAAGGTGGTTCTTCCTAACGTTTCGCCAGTCTCTGTGGCCGGCATCTTCAGAGGACAGCAACCAGTGCTCTGTATATTTTCCTTTTGAGCCAACATTTTTGAAGTTTTGGATGCTGGTCAGAATGTAGCTTCTGTCTCTGGATCAGTTATCTCCTGCTTTGCTGATAATCTAGTTAATAGGTGTGGTGCAGAGGTCCTGGTACTATCCTGCCCCCCACCCACAACTCTCCATTTCTATATGCATTTGACAGTCTACCTGCTGAACATCCAATGAACAAGAGGATTTTGCTTCTATACTGTGTACAATCCCTCATCTGTTCCCAACTGTGTGGAAATGAAGTGTTTTTGACAAGCAGGCTCTGTTTAATTCCAGTGTTCAGAATTCCAATTATTAATTATAAATATCCCCCTTGCCAGTTTAGAGATGCTGCTTTCCAAATCCAAGTAGAACAAATGTGGCCCTTATTGTTGCAGGCAACCTTGCTCTCTTGGGTCCATCTTCCTCTGAGCCTCCTACAAGGTCTGCCACAGAGACTCATTCTGGCAGTCTAGTGTCCTTTAATGGGGCTGTGCTCAATGTGGACAAACTACTTCAAAAGGCAGAGCAGACGCAAAACAGCCGCCTTTATCTGGAGAACAAAATTCATGCTCTGGAGCTGAAATTGGGTAAGCAACATATGGAACATATGGTGAGGGTTGGCTTCTGTTGCAGTGAGATGTTGTCCCTCAAAGCCTCACCAGGGTAGAATTCTTGGTAAAAAGTACCTACTGCCCTTCATCCTCTGATAAAAATTTATTAGGCAAATGAAACCTGATAAATGGAATTGAGCTGGCATCACATATTAAGCAGTGGACGAAGAAGTTTTAGACACTTGGGGGAACTACGGCAATTCAGTGGCAAATGTCCCCTGCTTGCTTATGGTCATTTTTGCTACCCAGGAATCTGAGCTAGAGGCCACCTGTGGCCATACTAGATTATCCTGGTGGCAGGCTGTGGTTGGGTTCTTGTAACTGAAATGTCCACCAGCCATACCGTAGGGGACTTTGGCTATCCTGCAGTCAGAGACAGTTAAAGTGCAGTAGAGCATGTAAATTTTTCTGGCTTGGAATTTTCTGGTTAAGCTTTTAATTTTTTTACAGTCAGTAGCTCATCTCACTCTGAACAGATTCAAGACAGTGGTGTTCTTCCTTGGTTTGGCTAGACGGTTATATTGCTCTGGTGTCAGCCCATTGCATTACTACAAGGTTGGGCAACTGGAGAGAGACTGGGAGTTTTCTGCCTTGATGACTAAAATAACATCAAACATCAGAAAAATGGGGGCAAATGAAACGGAAAGTAGCCCAAATTCCACTTCCAAATTTGGAAAATCAGTGCTTTTAAAAAAAATAATAATACTGAATCCTTCAATCTTCAAAGTTTAAAAGTAGTGGTTTTTTTCTGAGTGGTGAGAGGAAGAATTTTTTCAACTGTCTTTAGAAGGCAGCCTTAGTGAATCTATGCCCCCCCCCCATTTTTACTGCCTGAAAAATGAATTTTGTCATGTCTCTTCTTCTTTGACAGAAGAGACCCAGAATCGCTTCTCAGCCACAGAGGCTTCCAACAAGGCCTTGACACAGGAAGTGCAGGAGCTGCAGAAGCGCTTTGCCGATCTGGAGGAGCAGTCAAAAGTGACCGAGAGGCAAAAATCTAGTTTCCAGAGGCTGCTGCAAGAGAATAAGAAGCGCCTGGCTCCACTGCAGCTGGAAATTCAGAAGATCATTGAGAAGGTAACTAGCCACAGGGAACTTGGGGAGCGTGTCTGCCGGGCAGATTTTATATGATGGCACAGGGGCTTTTCAAGCATTCTCTCCTGTAATTCCATAAAGCCACACATTCTATTGCTGATAATTTGGTAAATGCAGGAAGTTTAATAGTGTGGAGTGTTAAATGGGCAGCACTGAGTTACAGTGGTGTGCCATATTTAAGATAACTTTTCTCTTACCACTTATTGAGAGCATCTTCATTGTCAGAGCTGTGAAAACATGCTGTATCTCTGCTTAGTAGGATGGATGGATACTTAATATCCAAGTTTGCACACATTGAAATCAGTGGGATTTATTTGTGCCCCAACATCTAAGAGTTATCAGGATCCGAGCTGTTGTCTTTTGTACCTGCAGCTTTTGTCTTTTTAAGTCCAAAGGGACTTAACTTCCTTGTACATACGCTTAGGACTGCAGACATGGTTCGGAGCCTGGCTTCATATAGATTTGAATGGCTGTCTTTTGAATGGCGTTTGGAAGCTGGTCTGGTGGAAGTGAAGCTGCTGTCATTAGCTCAGTCACTTGCTGCCCAAACTAGTTGTCTCAGCAGATATGGAAGCCTTTTCATTTTTCCCCCTGCAGATACAGTCTGGAAGTGGAGAGGCAAGCTTGGGGTGCTCACCTTCAAGTCAAGCCCTGTCTCTCCAGCTTAAATGTGTCTTTTCACCACAACTTTTGCAAACATGCTAGATTGTAGCAAGCTGTGGGCCTTTCATAATAATAGCTGATTTTATTATGGTATAAAATAGAATAACAAATAGTGGGAAGGTTTTATTTGAAAATACTTTTTAGCTTTTGCCAAGTCTGTTTGTTTATGAAGTCAAGTTCAACACAACCAGTATGTGGATTGCCAACCATTTGTTGTGCAGAGGTTGGTCCCTGCAACCTTCCTTTTGTGCTGTTGATCAAAGAAAATGCCATCTGAATGTCCATTTACAAAAAGCATGTTTTCAAAACTGGATGGTATGGAATTTTTGTGTGTGTGTGTGAGAGAGTGTGAGTGAGTGAGAGTGATATGATTGCTTCTCATGGGCCAAGGAACTCTCACATGTTTGTTTTTGATGAGGCGGTTCCAGCATTCTGTATTATGCAGCCAGAGATTTTACACCTTCACAGGGTAAGGGATTTGCAAGAAAGTCTTTGAAGAGTAAAAGGCACTGCACCATGGTAGAATCTTCCTTTGCACATCTGTCAAAATCTCTGAGCCAACCAGAAATCGTGCTTAGGGCTGCTTTAGCTAAGGCTAAGCACATGTATTTAATCTGTGAATATGATTTTTCATAATCTTTTGAACATTGTTAAGGGTTGTCAGTGAGAAGTGTATGAAATAAAGGAAATATTTCCTCTTCTTATTGCTATGCTTTCCTTACCTTTGTTTCTTTCAGACCAGTAATTGTTTAGAAAAGAAGGAACCAACGCCTGCAGCCGTTTCCAGTAACTGACATACATCGGAGGAGCAGCTCAACTGGGAGGATCTGTATCCTGGAAGGATGTTCTTTGGGCTGTGGGTTAGCAGTTGGGGTAAGCCTTTCAAATCCCCAGCTCTTTTGCTGCCCTGTGAAAGGCCAGGGCTGGTTTCCCTGCTAAGCCACCATCCCCTCAGATTTGGGGCAAGGGTCACCTAGCCTAAGCGTGGCTGGGATGCACAGGTCGTATGCTGGAGCCAGTGTTATTGTTTAAAGGATACTCGTTAGGTAGGCGTTTTGATGGTCTATTACATGAGTGGAGAAGCTGCAGCGTAGGTACTCTCAGGATGTCTTCCAGCAAGCTTCAGAAGCGAAACTTGAGTCCCTGCATTGAGCCTAATGCAGTTGTAAAGGGACAGCAGGGGCCAACAGCTCCCAAGGACAGGGCATGGCTAGTCTCTTTGTGCTGCATGGAGGCTTCTTTTCCTTCCAGCCCTCTCCCTCTGTTTCTCTTCACCACTCCAGCTTTTACTCAAGGAGGTGATGTTTTGCCTGCCTTTTGACAGGGAGAGGCTTTCGAAGGGGAAAGGAAGCACCAGAATTTGTAGGACTTTAAACATGAGAACTGATGCCCTGGGCTCCTGCCTCTGTCCTGCATTCAGTACTGCAGGCTAGTGTTGTGGCTGGCACTGTGGTTTGATTTTATATCCTGGCATATCCAGTACAGGATTTTACCCATTTTAAGGAAAACACCACCACTTGTCATCATCTCCAAGGTCTTGAGTCACTTGTTTGCCAGACATAGCTTTTAACAGCTCAGCAATCTGCTATGTTTTTGCTAGCCTTGAGATGCAAGTGAGATTTTGGGCCCCCATGGTCTGGATTTTTAGGGTTTGGGCCCTGGCCGTAAGGTGACTGCAATGCAGTTAACTTCCATTTAGGGAAAAGTAGCAGATGGCAGGAGAGGCTGTGTGGTAGGTAGCCCATTGGGTCACTGTGGTAGCCTTTAGCAGAGTAGTTGGTGGGCCTGTGCAAAGCCATGGCTGGCCTTGGGACCCCCCTGCAGTAGCATCTTGGCTGCTTCTGCCATGACCTTCTGCTCCCCCTACCCTCCGGTGTTTTGTCACTTCTGAATGTGTTGCTTTTAGTCTGTAAATGTGGTAACAACTTGTATTTAACTGGCCAGGTTCCCTTTTATAAAACCTCTTCCTCACTTCAAAGTCTATGCTTCCTTGTTTTCTTTTGTGTTAAGATGAAATTCAGTTTTCACACCAAACACCCCTGTCTACGTGGTCTTTCAGATGCTGCTTATTGGTGGAGGAAGAGGGGGAAAAAGAGTCAACTGGTAATTTTCTGCTTTTAAACTTGCTGTTACATGTTAAAGAAATTTATTATGTGGTGATAATGACATGCTTACCATATAACATGTTGCGAGGGAGCAGATAGATATAAGAGCCATTTCTGCTTCTGGGAACAATGATTACTTGACAGTGGATCATCCCAGCCAGAAACAGCTTCTTAAACTAATGTCACGATGGTATTTATAGGACTTGTTAGTTGGTGCCTTAAAATCTTGTTGCCACCATAAGATGATTTGTTCAACTATGACCTGAGTGTCTATGCTGTAGACCAGGAGGAAAAAGGAGAGACAAGGGGCCATTTGACATCATACTTCTTAGCAAACAGAGGGCAGGGTGGCCTATGTTATGTAGCGTGGTCGACCTTAAGTAGTTCTGTCAGAAACATGGCTCATGGCCCCCTCCTCCCACAACCCCAATCTGAGTTCTAGCTGAAAGAGGAGGCTGAACAATGAATAATACCGTAGGCATTATTCTGCTTGCTCTCGGGTGCCAGGTCCTTGCTGCTTGGAGTAACCTTTTTAGGCCAGAGCAAGCAGATATGGGTGTGTGTTGACAAAACAAATGGCTCAGGAGGTTTTGGTTTTTCTTCCTTTTTTTTTTTTTTTTTTTGCAAAAATAAAATTAAACTTGTAGATTACAAGAGCATTTACAATTATAAAAAGCCCAATCTATGTTTTTAACTGACATTTTGATTCACTGGAAATGACTATCAGGAAAATATCTGGGCTGTCCAAAGCAAGAGGAAGGTAATTTTTCTTCCAGAGATACTTTCCCTAAGAAAGGGCATGTCGTAATAATTCTCTCATATGTTTAATCTTCTGTCTGTGCTAGCAGATAGGCAAACTGTTCCACTACTAAATACAGTGATTCCTGGTACTGGGAAACAGGTTACACAGATTCAGGTAGTCGCTTATATAATTCTACATATTCTTGCAGGGAGCCACATACAAAATGCCTATGGATTACATCACAATGACTATAGATTCTAATGCATGTTATATAGCTTTCTAGTTTATGAACACATATAAATTGACAGTGTCCCTTATAGAAAAAAAATCTCAGTAAGATGGCAAGACATTGCTTATGGTGTGGGGATTGCAAGCTGTAAGCTTACAGACCCTCTCCCACCCAAAAACATTCCTTCATCACAAGACATACATACATTGGTCAATACACCAAGAAAGGAAGCAGCATCAATTAAACTGGTTACGTTTTAGCATTTTCTAGCAAATACCTGCTATTTCCCACTTCCAGAGTTGCTGGGGACCTTTCAAGAACGAGAGCCACAGACGAGAATTTTGCTGCACTTCCTTTCATACAGATGTTCAGTTTTTGGAAGGCTGCTGCAGATACATCCCCTAAGATCGAGAAAGCATCTCTGCAAGTCAGAGGCCCATCTTCAGAAAATGTGGTGCAAAAGGAGATTTCCACAGCTTCAACAGTTGCCAGCTTGTAGATATTCTGATTTAGAGAGGTCAGTCATCAGCTACAATTGAAAGGGCCCTCAATTCATTCAGCTTGACTTCATTCTCTTTCTCCCTCTGCTCATCTGTTAAGCCAGGCTCATCAATCTGTTCTGTTAATTCACCAAAGATTTTGTACATTTCAGTGTAGTATACAACCTAGTAGAAAAGAAGAATCCTCTTGTTAGAAACGTGTATTTCCCCCCCCCCCGTCACTGAAGGTCTAATTAAGTGGCTCTTCCTACAGTGTACAGCCATCTCTGATCTTCTGTAATTTCAAGAAAATGCATGTAAGATATTTCAATACTTTGTGACTGAAGCCATTTAACAAAGGCAAGGCGGTTGGTTTAAAAGCCAGATGGCAACTTTGTCAGGGGCTTTATTGATTATAAGGGCCATCTCACTGTTAAAAAATTGTTCAGCTGATAAAACTGTAAGAAACAGCTGAATAAATTTGCATGAAATGCTAAACGTTTTGCAGAAGGGGCTACTTCCTTTGCATCAATGGAGCACGACTCTTACCTTGCCTTAAGAGATATTTCCATCTCCCACCAATACTTTCACGCAGGGCAGAATATTTACTGAAAAGCTGCTTGCCATTTGTTTTTCATGAGTATATAGTGGAAATTGCAATCATTTAAAATTAAAGTTCTGCTAACAATACGTCTGTGTAGTTAGCATGTGTACCAGAATCCCTCTTAGCAAGGTACGACATGTAATAGAGAGGCAACATGCATGGCTACGGAGCAGAACAGGCTGTTAGAGGCAACATAGGATAACTAGATCAGTACCAAAGCTCCACTTCCTCTGACCTGGAATATGGTGTTTTTTTCTCTCTACAGGTATGAATGAAGTCTAGTAACTTACCTTAAAAAATAGCAGCCATATCAGATCCAACACTGAGCTTAAATCTTCTAGAATGAATGGTTATTACCAGTCCTTTGACTTGTCACTTTCCACTCAGTATCAGCCAATGTCAGAATCATGGAGGATGGTGTTTTAAAAAAAACCTTTAAAAAACTTCCCCATAAGTTATACTCACTTCTTTCTTTCTTTCTTTCTTTCTTTCTTTCTTTATTTATTTATTTATTTATTTAATTTGATTTATTTGATTTATTTGATTTATTTGATTTATACCCCGCCTATCTGGCCTAATAGACCACTCTAGGCGGCTTTTGTATTTCCTAACACTCATCCATTCCTTCCAAGGCAGATAAAAATTCCCCAAGGAAAAATTTAGGATAGACAAGATTTTGGGCTATCCTGGCCAACAAATCTGGGAGGCATCAACTTGCCTACCCTACGTTTGAAACTTGAGTAGGGTAGCTTTCAATATTGGCAGATAGGTTTTGTCCATGTTGAGAAGGCAACTGGCAATTGGAAATGGTGTCTGTTAATGCTGAGAAGTAACCATCAGGAATTGACTTTTGCCACAGCGAGGCACCAGTAACATCACTACTGTTAAGTACAACACTGCCAGCTCCCATTGTAGCTTAAAAGGATTCATCAATAAAAGACATAAACAGCCCACCCCAGACAAGACAGAAGGGTGAGGAGGAAAGCAAAAGAACCACGGCAGGCATTGGTTCTGAAAGGTTAGAAGTTTCTTCCAAGAACTAACCTGGACAGAAACAGTTCAGTTCTCAGGAGAGGTTACATGTTTGCATATATACGTATAGCCAATGAATGAATGAATCAATCATATTTTTTAAAAAATTTAAGCGCTCCTTCTAAAAATCTGGAATAAGAAGGTGTGCATGAGAAAGCATGCAATTTTTTAAAAAATTTAAGCACTCCTTCTAAAAATCTAGAATAAGAAGGTGTGCATGAGAAAGCATGCACAAATCAGGAGTGTCTTCCTCTCCCCTATCTTGCCAAATCTGGAAATCCCTCAACCATGTCACCTCAGTGGTTCAATATTCCATTTACATAGGTAGGCGGCACAGAAATTTAGTAAACACCACTAATAACGTTTGAAAAACAAAAGGAACGGAATGTTTCCAGTTCACTTTAACACAACAACTAGAAGTCCTTGGGATACAACATGTTAACGGTGGGGTTGAAAGGAGAAGTGGATCCACAGAAAAAAGAAAAAGCGAGAGAGACAGTCCCAGCAAGGCTGCTAAAACCAAGCTGCCACTGGATTCCTGCTGCCCTAGTGACATGGCCACAACTGAGTGGGATTGGCTTGCTTTGTTGGGATCAAGCAGGGAGGGAGCCCCTCTTCCTACACAGACGTCTGCAGCCCTGCGGAGGAGGCAGCAGGAGTGAGCCATGAACTTTGACCTCTCTAGCACACTCTGGGGGGGGAGGAAGAGCGGCGTTTCCTGCTGTCCTGTAGAAGCACAACCAACTAGGAGGGGCTGCTCACACATCACGGGTAGGCCGAGTTTCATACTCTGCTCCTTGGAAATGCTCCACAGGCAGCCAAGCATTGATAGGATTTTCACAAATGCTAGCTAATCCTCCCGGCGCCCCCGCAAGGTGGCTATTCTTATCCCCACATTCTAGACGGGTGCCCAAAGGGGCAGGTGCCTTCCCCTCAAGGTCAGCACATGCAAGTCAAGAAGAGTAGGGATTTAAATCTGAAGGGTATTTAGCTCCTTTTGCCTTGGGCTTAGCCCACTAGACAACACTGCCACGCTCCTACTGTCTCTTTTATACATCACCATCGCCATAGCAACAGAAGCCGATTGAGTAAGCTTCCCAAGAATGGCTCAGACTCCTAGCTCTTCCATCCCTGCTCCCCATGCCATGCGATTGTTATGCAGCAAGACAACCCGTTGGACACCTGTTCTCCTTTGTAAGCTTCTGTGGAGGAACTTTAATCTGCTCAAGGTTGGAACAATAATGTAGCTCCGCTAAGGCATTTGTTTCAGCAAGGAGACAGTGGTCAAAGTTTTCTTCCAAATGAGTACTATGAAATATGTCAAACATATTGACTTGACACCTTGCAGGATGTCAAGGATCTGGTAAATTTCACCACTGTTAAGCCTAACAGAATAACTGTCCTTAAATGTGCAGCCCATTTGCAATGAATGTCTTGAGGGTCTGTCAATGGATCAGTTGGCCTACTATGCTTTCATGACTTACCTACTTTGTTAAAGCTAAGCAAGCCACTTTGGATAGGGGACTCCTTGGGAAACCCACAAACACAACTCATAAAAAGGCATACTCATAAAAAGGCAGGCTATCAATTTCACCTGCGGCCATAAGATACAGCAGGAAAATGGAAAACATCCTGCCTTCCCTTTCAGTTCCAAGTAACTGGGCATTCTAGTGCTTCCTCTAATGAAGAATGCAGAATCGGGAGGGTGGTGGTTATTCCATGATTAGGATCAAATTGTATTGTGTGGAAGTGGGCTTGGTGGATCACAGTCAAGAAAAAGGAGGAACCTCTGTGGCAGATGTCAATTCTTAACTCTGGGCAAGAGAATCTGTCTTCATTGTGTACCCTCAAGTTTGCCTTGCAGCTAAAAACCCTCATCCAAAAGTCACCATTCTGGTGGTAAGGAATGCTACTCCGTAAAATATTTCACACAGTGACTTCTATTAAAGCAAATCCTGTCAATGGTTCCTCTACAACCCAGAATTCACATGCCAGAACATAGTGGCAAGAGCGCCCTAAGGCAACAAGACCACCTTCCAGAAAAAGCAGTGGCAAGAAATCATAGCAAGCCCCCATCCCCTAGAGCAGTGGTCCCCAACCTTGGGCCTCCAGAGGTTCTTGGCCTTCAACTCCCAGAAATCCTGGCCAGCAGAGGTGGTGGTGAAGGCTTCTGGGGGACCACCTTCCAGAAAAAGTGGTGGCAGAAATCATAGCAAGCCCCCATAGAGGGTCTGGTTACACCAGGCCGTCTGCTATGCTGCTGCAGGACTCTTCCAAAGGGACCTTGTCTCTTTAAGACCAAATAGTTTGAGTAGATTTATACACCATCTCCATGGAGACTGCCTCTTCTCCTCGTCATCTCCGTGTACTGGGTTTTTATTTTGAGTACTGTAGATGAAGATACTTTCTCTTGCAAGTACCAAAATCTCCACAGATTTTGCTAAGCCCCATCCCTATTTCTGGGTCTAATCTAAGAGCAGCTAGGGAGGGGACTAATGGGCACCATCCAGGAGACAAAAAGTCCTGAGATCCATCACACTGCTTTCCCTTTTAAGCAGCAGGTAGTGGAGCTGTGCTTTCTGGTGATTCAGCAGGACTGCTGCTTTACACAGTGACTAATGAAATCAAATCAGCAACAGCAGAACAACCAAAATAGGAAGAGACAAACCCCTAGGGGCTGAGTGGGCAGGGCTCATGCAGTGCCATTAGACTGCTCAGCTCTAAGGAACGTGGGGAGGGGGCTTTCATATCATGCACCTTATTAGTCAACATGAACTTTCTTTATACTGCCTACCTTTTCAAGAAATCAACAGCCAGTTTTTCCCCCTTGTACCTCTCCTAAACATGGCACAAGCAGCCCGTTTCAGCCATGAAACCTAAAGTTTGTGACAGCGCAATTAACCGGGCCTGGTCTACACTTGTGCTCCAACAATTGGACTCTTCCTGTATTGATGCATGGAAAGAGGTGGTTCAAGTGACACTGGCCTCTCACTTGTTTACAGAATATACAGTGTTTATATACAGTATATATATATCCCTGGTGGGCAATTGTGCTTTCCCCCAGTTTGGGGCATGTACAGTCATTGGTAGAAATAGCCCATTAGAACACAACCCAGTGAATGTTGCTTTTCTCTAAATCTAAATACCTTTAAACATCATGATGGAAGGAAACAGGATAGAGGCATACAAAGCCTTACTGGTTTGTTCCTCTTGCTGGTCTAGCTTATTCTTCCCCATCAGTGTCAGAGACAAAAGGGAAGGAATGGGGCCCTATGAGAACCTGCCAAGACCACCAAATGCACGGCACGGTCAGTGTCTTAGCATAGGGAAGGACTGCCCTATGCAAGTAAATGCTCATGATGACGGATGTGCTGCGGTAATTCTACCACCATTTCTGTGAAACCTCACAGTCAGATTTGGTTCAGGGGGTTCCACATTTTGGTAATCCTGTTACTAAGGCTATGATGGCTATAAACATCTCTACACAAGCCCCCTTCCTGAAGTGGAGATACAACCAAAGAAAATGTCACCAGTGCAAATCACGGAACAT